ACACACACACACACACACACACACACACACACACACACACACACACACGTATTTTACACACAAATGATCCCTGTCTATACAGCAGGAAGGCAATTAAATCCCAGGCACTTCTATTGCAATTTTAATGTTGTGCACCCCCTCCAGCTCTCCTTCACACACTCTCTCTTCTCCTCCTTTTTTATTTTTTATACAAACACAGTCGCAGAGTCTCACGGTCTTTCATCAAAACCATCCACACCCACTCCACCCTTCCCTAGAGAGTGTGAGAGGTTGAGTATACTTGAAGCAAACATGTTTCCTCATGAATTGGACAGGGCAGTTTCTGTGCTGTGTGTGTGTGTGTGTGTGTGTCTACTTAATCTGATATTTTCATGTACGATGTGTGCATCTTCATGGCAGCTCTGACACAGCATGACTCAAAGTAGCACTGACCTCAACACTCAATTTGAGCTATTACAATATATGTACTCCAACTCACTCAGACAGTGACAGTGCTGAGGTAATGAGGAGTTCTTAGATGAAGCGCTGACTCTTTTTTTTTTTTAGAGGATTTAAATGGTGGGTGCCAGGGGTCACTGGCACCCACCATCTCCCCAAGGACTCATGCTCGTGTGTCAGCTGGAGGGAACCGAGTTTCAGGTCCAGAGAACAAGAGAAAGAACGGTTGTTTTTTTTGATGGCCCCATTCACCATCTGTGAAAGGTAAAAAGGGCAAGATGAGAGAGAGAGAGAGAGAGAGAGAGAGAGAGAGAGAGAGAGAGAGAGATGGACATTTGAAGCAAACAGCTTGATACTAGAGAGTGGATGAAGATATGTGGAATGTAATGATGAGGCCTGGGGGGGGTGAGGGGATCAATATTGTAACATTTGAGAATAGATCTGTTAGAATTATAATACTAGAGCTAGAGAGTGAAGGATGGAGAGAGAGATAAACAAAGAGAGTTGATAACTGGGAGGCTGATTTAAAAACAAAACAAAATCGAGAGAGCAGATTTCTATTTCAGATGGACGAGGATAAGAATGTGCCTTGGAGGAATGAATTAATATATCCCTACGGTCTGCTTGTCCTGATTGGGTTGTCGTATTAGTTGTTTTGGTTTGTTAACAACTGTTTTATTAATGAGGATTTGCTCTCCCTCCTACCCCTACAAACACACACACACACACATCCACTCCAGCATCTGCGAGTTGTCGCTACTGACACAGTGACCCAGTCCAGTAGATGTAGGTTAGCCTTTCTTGCAGCCCTCTGGGTTTCTGCTCACACTCTCAGGAGCTGACTGTGTAGTTATTGCTGCTGACGCTGAGCTGATCTATTTTGTTGCGGCATTGTTTACGGAGAAAAAGACAAGATTTTGTCCGTGTACTTGAAGTATAATGAAAACGGCACAGGAAAAGCAACCACTCTACGTATAGACACTTGGACAGAACAGCTCATCTTCTGCTCTGATATTATATAACGATATCTAATATAATATTGGTTACAATTACAGGATGGTATACATTTGATAAGGGGTCATGGTATTTTCTCACTTGTGCTTTCAGGCTCTGCAGAAGTTAGCGAGCCAATACCTAAAGAGAGACTGGCCTGCAATCAACCCTGATGACCAGAGAACAGACTACAGGTAAGTGTGTGTGTGTGTGTGTACGTGTGTGTGCGTGTGTGTGTGGATAAGACATGTAGACGTAGGCAGCCATATTTTCCCATAAAGCACAGCTGATCTTACAGCCGTTCTAAATTGCTTGCACCTTTGCAGTTTACAGTTTTACTGATATTAGTTTTGTGTTTGTTGATTTTGGCAACTACTGCAATATTTCTACACACACATCTTTTCCCCTTCCAGGTGCATGTATAGTTTCTCTGGCCCACAGTGGTGTAGAGAATCATAAAGTTAGCCACTCTGTGGGAGAACTTCATGATTTTACAGCTAATTATAGGAGTGTAAGTTGTAGCCATCCAGCATTTGTGTGCTTTCTCTCTCCTAATAGGAATGTGTATGCAGTGTGGAGGTCCTACTTAGAAGGTACAGTGCAGGTGAGCCAGTCCAGGCTCAACGTGTGCGACAACTACAAAAGCCAAGTGTCGGAGCCCGCTAAGACCGTCAGACTCTACAAGGAGCAGCAACTCAAAAAGGTGAGTCGATGCGTGTGCGGCGGGAGTTAGTCACGGTTTCCTGAAGCAGTCTTTGTTCTCTATCCGTCTCTACAACCACCTTCCATCACACTGAGTTATTGTGACTCATGTTGGTCCGCTCTTTTTCTAACAACTTTCCTTGTTTTCCCTTTTTTTCTCTTCGCAGACCATAGATCAGTTGAGCGGAATTCAAGCAGAGCTGCAGGAGTCGGTGAAGGAGTTGGCCAAAGCCAAGAAAAAATACTACGACTGTGAGCAGGTTGCCCACGCTGTACGAGAGAAGGCTGACATAGAGGCCAAGTAAGCTCCACGTGGCACTATACGTGTGTGTGTGTGTGTGTGTGTGTGTGTGTGTGTGTGTGTGTGTGTGTGTGTGTGTGTTATTAGGGATGCACGGACAAATAAAAATGACTAGCCAAATGGTCTCCATTGTCAGAATGAATACCATCAAGCAAACAAAGTTGGTTAACCTCACGGAGAGAGAATATGTTTGTATGTAAGAGAAACATGAGGGCTGAAAGAAGAAATCAATTACATAGTGGATTTAAAATAGACATTTTTTGTGTTTTATTCTTCTTTTGAAGGACACATAGAAGCTCTATCAGATAAAAAAAAAAGTGTTTTTCTGCAGCTTTCTAGGGTTGAAAGATTGGATAAATGATAGATTGAAATATATTATCATTTGTTTTTCATCTGTCGTTCCCACTAAATAGTCCACTGAGTAGTAGAGAAACTTGAGTTTCTACTTTAAGTTCAATATTTTTGAAGCTTTGCACTGCAACTAGTGCCGAGGTGTGATCCGTGTTGTTTTCCTCTCAGCCCTCGGCAGCAGTAGCTATGGTGACATTTTCACTTCATTGAATCCTCGGCTCCGGTTAGCGGCGCGCATCGATTGGCCCGTCGACTCTTTTCTGCTCCCGATCACTCAGCAGAGAGACACAGAAATGAATGCATTGCCGCCGTGCCGCTACGCGAGTGTACGTGTGTGTATTTCATTCGAGATGCGGAGACATTAGTCATCGTCAGGCAACAAGGAACACACGGGAAGAAGTTGGTGTGAATGCGGAGACGCAACACACACCTCACACACCACTTGGCTGCATAAAGCAGGGTTACATAAGTAGAAACAAACCACACAGACATCATCACACACTCATCATAATGCATCTGTAAGTCAGAGGTTAGAGATCAGAGGTATGATATTGTAGAAGTGTCTGGATCTTGTTCTTCTTCCTACCTTACTTTGTTTTAAATATTAGTAACTGTCGTTAATATTTGTGTTTGATTCGATATATGATTTTGTGCATGGATGCCTTCATGTGTATTTGTTTGAATTCAAATCAGAATTAGATCCCAGATGAACTCCTTTGCTTGCTCTGATTTGTCATTTCAGGTCTAAACTGGGTCTATTTCAGTCAAGAATTAGTTTACAGAAAGCAAGTGTTAAGGTAAGTGGGTAAGCTCAATCACTGACACACAGACACAACGCCGTCACTCCCTCTTTGAGGCAGAACTTTCAACCAAACTCTTTTAACACATGATACAAGAACGCAAATGGTTGTTTCACTTTGCTTCTCTAATCTCTTAGAGCTCTGGTCTGTTGCTATAATGCGGTAAAGCAATATCGTCTGTGTCTCTCTCTTTCTCATTTCAGTTGAAAGCTAAGAGAAGTGACTGTAACTCCAAGGCGACACAAGCCAGGAATGACTACTTGCTAACGCTAGCTGCTGCCAACGCTCACCATGACCGCTACTACCATACAGATCTACTGCACTGCATACAGGTATTTACATGAAGATGAATTCAAAGGATTGCGTGGTGTGAGAGAGAGAGAGAGAGAATAAACATGGACATTTTTGGTAAAACTGTACATTTCTGGGCAGCTAGAATTGTTGTTTTGAATGCTATTCTTTTTACTGACTTAAGAATCTCACGAGCTGATAATAGCCAGAGGGATTTTCCAGGAACGAGAACACATTTTCTGGTTCTAAATTCAAAGCTCAATTTGGGATGAAATGTCTTCTTTTTATTACTGCACAAAGTCAAACTCCCTCCAAGTAGTTTGAGGGGGGAAAAAATAATCATATATGAGAAAGTGATGATTTCACAGTTTTGAGCCTTCAAAGAGAGTCGTATGGAGCTCTCTGGATTTGTGAGTTGAAAGGAGCTTATGCAAAGAAAAATCCTGCAAAATGAGCCAGCCTGATGTTTGCTTTTACCAAATGATTGGTAGGCATGAAGTGATATTTTCCACAGTGTTAAATTAACTGTATTAAGGCCAGAGGACTTCTCAGAAAGTTTTGACTTAGTTTGGCTTTTTTTTTTCGTAGAAGGAATTGAGAAAAGGTCATCCAAATATGAATGCTAGTGAGTTTGCTGCATCGCTGTATATCACTGATCATCTTTTGGCCTCATAGTGACATTTGATATGACATGCATCACTGTGAACCTGAATGTGTGCTAGTTATTTTTCTTAATATGTTTGTGGTAAATAATCATGTGAAAGCAAGCGCTGCAAGATAAGGTGATGAGTTGTGACACAGAAGCCAATTTCACTCATATTTCTGTCATCAGCGGTAGAACGCGTGGTACCGCGTTACCTTTCTGGCACATTCAGAACAATCAGAATACAGGAAGAAATTACACAAAAATATCCGCATGCTATTGTGGTTACAAGACAAGAGATCCAGATCCGTTAATCACACACACACACACACACACACACGCACACATAAAAGACAGTTTGCCCTGACAGACACACCTCAGCTACTGTGTGGTGAATAGCTTGAGCAGCTGAGTGACGGTGATATAATCCTTTTGTAAATACTGTACAAACATGTCAGTCTGACACACACACACGTATACATGTTTTCTTTATCCTGACAGTCATTAGTCTCAGACATGACAGATTCAGCAGACACACAGGGAGACACACACATTAGAGTTGCTTGGTGACTGCACCTGTAATGTTGCTGCTTTTATTTTTCAGTCTAAATGTATGCAACTTACCTCATAAGTTGCATAGTTTGCATATTTAAAATGAAAGGGAAGGTCATTGACTTTTCTATCTGCTTCTCTCTCTCTGTATTTTATTTTCTTGGCTTTCTGTTTCTTTCTTTGCTTTTTCCATTTTTTTTTTTTTAAATTTCCAATTTCTAACTTCAGATGCTCCTCCCTTGTTTCTTCTTCTTCTCCCTCACTCTCACGCACTCGGCCTCCGGCGTGTATGAGCATCTATACTATGAGGCCATTCTGAATAATAGATTCTTAGCTCCTCGCGACAGAAGGACAGGACTGCAGGGAAATATGCACATACACAAATACATGCTCGCAAACACACAGAGAGAATGAGGGACATCACTAGAGGGAAGCAATCTGCTCATCCCTCCTTATTTGTATTATTGTGGTGTTTACAGGTCTTCACCTCTAACAGGGGGATGGGAAATTGCATCGCAAGTTCTTTTCATTGTTTTTGCTCCACATAGATACGTTGAGAAACACAGTGAAGAAAGCAGCATGGATGGCAGCCATGAAAATAACAGCCATACATGATATGCATAACCGAAAAAGCACAATACAACCCAGAGCTTCATAAATGCTGACTGTACTGACTGTGGCTGCAGACATAACTTGTGTCTTACACTGAGCGCTACTGTCCTTGTCAATGCGACAGTCAGCAGTGAAAGGGCAGTGGAGGAACACACTGCTCCACATCTCCCTCTGCTGGTGCCAGTCGATGCTCCAACCGTCCCCTGCCAGACGCGCGCACGCACACACACACACACACACACACACACACACCTTTGCTGCTCTGTCTGGTCCACTGTGCTGTACTTATTGTTCAGGCTGATGCAGTCATGCAACCCAATAACACACACACACACACTGACCGTGATATGAGGACGGGGCTTTTTCTGGAAGCTGACTCACTCCATTTCTACACTACCGTAAATGGATGAAAGAAGGAAGGGAGGAAGAGAAGAAAAGGGGAGGAGGAAATAAGCAGAGGGAACATTTAGAGAGAAGTCAGCCAACAACCCACCCTTAATGACATCATTTCCTTGTCAATGTCCCATTGTTTTAAAAGTGTGTGTGTGTGCGTGTGTGCGCAAGTGTGTAAATGCTACTTTTGTTATGTGCATATTAAAATAACATGTTTTTGCATGATCGCTATACTTGGTATTTGTGAAAGAAAAAGAAGGTGTTCCTGGGAGGTTGTAGACTTGGCCTAAAATATCCCCTGGTCAGCACAGAGTGTAGGCAGGTTTGTGAGAGTGTGAGCTTTTTAAAAGTACTTTGCTTTGAGGAGAGAATGAGTGGCTGAGTATTTGTGTGTGTGTGTGTGTGTGTGTGTGTGTGTGTGTGTGTGTGTGTGGTCTCCGTGTTTTGTTAAATTGGAATCTGAACCCCTTCACCTTCCCCTGCAGCTGCGAGAACGCTATCCAAAGAACACTTCACACACACACGTCTCCCATACACTCATTCTGTCTCTCTCACTCTTTCATACTTCCCCTCTTCCCTCCTCTCTCGGTCTCTCGTTCCTCTGTCTGATCTGTTTGGCATTGTGGCCTACAGCTTGGCAGCCCTACCCCAGCTCCCCTTTGAAGGGCTGTTCATTTGGGCTGCATTACATTATCTTTATATCGCCGCATCAAAATCCTCTTCTTATGATAAGGTCTGTCAAATGAAAACATCTGCTCTGTTTCTGGCCTTCTTTTGACTTTTCTCTTGTTACTCATTGTTTGTTTGTGTGTGTGTTTGTGTGTGTGTGTGTATAACAAATCAAGTTTCAACACTAGTTAAACTGAAATCTTTATTTAAACACACAGGTGTTTTCAATCACTCTGGCTGATTAGACCACTAGTCAGGTTGAAGCTGGGTGTTGTCAGTCTTTACATGCCCACACCGCCTTGAGAAGAGGTCTAATTGGGCAACACAAGTGAAAACACCTGTGTGAGTGGACTATGGGTCTTCAGTTACATTCTTATGATAGTGTGACCTGACAACATGTCTGATCTGTCTACTATTGTGACACTTGGTGTAAGTGGTGTATGATTGCTGAAATTGTGTATAGATTGGGCAATTTGTTACAAAAATGGTACAAGTTTGATGATGACAAATGAGGCACTATTGTGCACAGAGGACTGATGTGAAAATCCACATCTGAATGAATGTAGAAAAACAACAAATATATTGCTAAAGCTTCTGTGATAACGGGCTTTGTTCTACTCTTTGACCCTCTTTCTGTCCCTTTCTAGGTGTCACCTCCTAATTCTCTTGTACCCTCTTTTATTGAGAATTATGGAATTACATTGGATTAATCCTTTCTTCACTGTAACCTCTGGTCCTTCGCTCTCTCTCTCTCTCTATCTCTCTATCTCTCTCTCTCTCTGTCTTCTAGGCCTTGGATGGCAGGATCTATGAGCATGTGAAAGACTACCTGGTAGAGCTGAGTCGTACCGAGCTAGAGGCCTCGCAAGCCACACACAACACCTTCCAGTTCTTGTTGGACAAATCCACAAGGGTGAGTCACATGTGTTGAGTGACGCATGCCTTCTGCACTCATTTGTAAGTTAGTATTTGTAGAAATACAGTGTTTCTTGGTCTCAAACAGATGCTGTTGGAAATATCTTCTTGACATCATAGCTTAATAAAAGTGCATTTTTTGTAATTTTTCACCTGCAGCTGGTCTGCAGTGATGTACAGCTGGTTTTGGAGTAATTACCTCGAGTTATATTACCCTTTTTAGTGGTCTAAAGGATCTTGAATCCTTTCTGCTCCTAGCCCAACTCGCAAGCTATTTGACCTGACATGGATGCCATATAAAGGTGGCTGTAAAACGTTTGTTGTTCGCTCCATCACGGGGGAACAGAGTCTGTGGTCAGCAGGGATTCACGGAGTTTACGATGGATTCCCGAAATTAACTTTTCACAGCAAAAAAAACTTGCATGCAAACACACTGTATTAACTACCTCCCTCTGTCTTTAACTCAGATAATACAAGAATACAACCAGCAGTTGTTCATGCAGGAGAACCCAGTGTTTCACAAAGCACACGACTTCCAGTTCCAGCCCAGTGAATGTGACACGGTGAGAGGCGCATAGTACTTCAGTTAGACTTGTATTGTTTGTGTATGAGCCTGTTTATTCCTTTCTCTTTCAACACACACACACACACACAGATAGCAATCAGCCTCTACCTTCCTCGATTCTTTTTGGAGGTGTTAATAATTCAGGATGGAGACGTCCAGTTAACTCGTGTCTGGTGACAACATGACGGAAGTATGAGTCTGCTGTGTTCTAATATTAATCGTTTTAACGGTGAATGTTTTGTGTCCACTTGGAGCTTCTCTTTCTAATCCAAGCTTCTTTTCATCATTTACATACATTGCATAACTTTTTTTTAATTCAATTGGTTGCTGTATGTTAAAATAATTTTAAAATTGTCATAAATCATTCTCAAGTCTGTGTGATTAAAAACAGACAGCAGTGGAAATCATGCTGTCACACCCCTCTGGAGACTTGTTAAGTATTGCTGGTTTAAAAAAAAAAGAAAAAAAGATGTCTCCCAGTGGACATTGGGCATAAATCCTAAATAGTTTTCTCAGCCTCTTTTTCTCTCTCTCTCTCGCTGTGTTCAGACACATTTTCTTTCCCTCTCTGATATTTTCCTTTATTTCATAAACTGCTAACATTTCTCTTAACAACAATGTGCTATTCCTACCCTGAGTCTTCCTAATCCTGTTCAACCTTTGCTAACACTTTTCCCTAACCTTTTTTTCCACTAACCCTGTATTTGTGTGTCTGTGTGCTTGCACTGCTGCTCTTGTGTGTGTGTGTGTGTGTGTGTGTGTGTGTGTGTGTGTGTGTGTGT